CAGCGGATGGGAGCTTGCTCTCTCAGGCAAAGCAAAGAAAACAAAGAAGACCATCATCACCTCCAAGCGGCTTATAATGTGACACTGTGACTGGGGAAAAGAAACCAACCACCAGGACAATTTCAGAAGAGCTACACACTATGGAAATAAAAGCAAATATTTATAAAGTGCCTCTTCTGCCAATGCTGAATGGTTTCATCCTTATGACAACCCTGTGCTGTTATCGTTACCTCTACTTCATAGTGGGAGACACTAGTGCAGAGAGGCTAAGTCACCTGCCCATTGTCCTACAGCTAACAAGCAGCAAGCCGGCAGGCTCCATCCTGGCCTCTAGGGGGAGCTCTCGGTAGGGCAGTGTCCGAGGAAGAGCCCTCAAGGGGGTGGCCCCAGAGCACAGAGGCGGTGAGCCAGGGGCATTCCAGGAGGCATAAGGTTCCAGATGAGGTAAACATGGAATCCAAAGGCCCTGAGGCAGGTCACGGCTTGACAAGTTGGGAGGAAAGCAAAGGAAGCAACTTCCAGCAGTGCAGGATGTGGAGCAAGTGAGGGGAGTGCACGGAGCAGACACTCAGCGATGGGAAGGAACTGCGCTAGTCCTCCAGGGACATCCTGGATCCTCCTTGCAATTCCGGGAGATACACAAGAAAAGTATGGTGCCATCCAGTGCCCGCAGCAGGGAGTGGGCTTGGTCTCCTCTGGCAATGCCCCTTGGCAGCTGACACAAGAGGACTCAAGTCCTTCCTCCCTCTTCACTCTGAATCCACACCGTCCCTGGCCTTGCCACAAATGAGGGTTCCCACCAATACCACCCCACCTGCTGTGCTGGGGTGCCTAGATCCTGCTCGTTGCCACCCCGTGGCCCGACTCCAGGGCTAGTCCAACGAGGTAGAGCCCACCTTCCTCCCCCTGTGGATTACACTGCTCCTGGGACTGACTTGGAGCACAAGTGATGTTCGAGGCCAGCTACTCAGGCAAGGTGAGGCGGATTCTGCTCCTTGCGAGCCAGCTGCCATGCAGAAGGCTGAGCCCCCCAGACGAGGCATGGGGAGGGGCCCTAAGGCCTCCCAACTCACAGCCAGCACTGACAAGCAGACTGTCCCAGTGCCTCCGCTGGCCACCCTACTGAGACATATCACACGAAACAGAACTGCCCTCTGACCCTGTGAAAAAAACAGTAAACTGCTGCTTTAAGTCCGGGTCTTGGAACTATGTGTTATGCAACAAGACAACCAACTCTACTGGAGAGAACTTCCATGACAGCATCCAGGTCTCCCATTCTCCCTGTACTCCTGTCCCCTCCACCCAAGTCCAAATCTTTTTGTCCTTCTAGGTGGTCACTTCCTCATTGGGCTCACCCCTCCCTGAGGTCCCCCGACCTGAGTTCCACCTTCCCTTACAGCCAGAGGGAGCCTATCTTTCCCCTTCCACACACACTTCCGGAACTGCCCGTCTCTGCCTTAGCATAAGCTGCTGCCTGTACCTAGGGCATTCTCTGTCCCTTCCTCTCTCTTTTCCTCCTCTGGGCCTCAGCTCAGAGAGCACCAGCTCCAGAGAGCACCCATGTGCCCCTTTTCGTACCCCCATCACAGTCACAGTCCCTGGGGGTGCTCGTGCCTTTTTCAGCAATCTGGTGGGCTCACCACATCAGGTGCAAAGTCTTTTTGGTGTTCTCAGACCCCAGCGCAGGGTGCTTAGGGAAAGGCCAGAGGAAGTGGAGGTGAGAATAATGACTCCAAAGCTGCATATCATCTCACATCTCTTTGGGACCAGGTACAGCAGTGAGACGGGGCTATGTACTGGCCTGCCCAGCCACTCTGCTTCCTAAAGGGTCCTGGTCACTCCGTATCCCCAGAACTTCGTCCCAACCTGACCGTAACAACTCATCTGCTTGTCCATCTCCTCAGTGAAGCAGGCGGTGCAGTGCTTACACGCAAGGACTTCATAGGAAGCCAGACCGAGTCTCAGATATGGGCTCTGCTACCTCGTGGCTGTGTTGAACATAGGATGGACTGTTCCTCATTGATCCTACTTCCCTTATCGGAATCCCCTCAGAGGATCACATAAGATAACACTTGTAAAAATCACTTGGCAGAGTGGTCAGCACCTGCCAGGTCCCTGAGACATCAGCTGAGTTTCCTCTGTTTACATCATGACCTACCGGAGATCTGGGCCTAGCACCGTGCCTGACATAGAGCAGGTGCATAGCCACAGGGCCAAAGGACGTGAGGAATCTGATGAAAAAACAGAAACAAGTACTCACTCACTAAAGCAGCTGGGTGTGATCACTTGGACCCATTTCACAGGTGATGAAGTTGAGGCCCAGGGCTTGCAGGATTGAGATCATGATGGAGGCTGAATGTCAACCAGGCAGGCTGCCTTTGGATCATCAGCTTTCAGCCTGTGCTGTCTCTCAAAGTCCCCAGTCTTCCATCGGCTTGGCTTCTACCCAGCTGCTGTGTGGTCCCAAGCACAGGACCCTCTCTCTGTGCCTCAGTTTCCCCTGCCAAAAGAGGAGTTAGTGTTAAAGGGCATTACTGTTGGTCTAACGACTTGGGCTTGGGCTGGAATGAGGTCGGCCCTCGCTGGGGAACATGGGCTGGACTGTCAGGGGTAGGTCACTGCACAGAGTAGGCTGCACTTTCTCCTCCATACTGAGGATGGGGTAGTGGTGGTGTCTGGCCTCTGCCTGTTCCAAGCCTCCCCCAAAGGCCCTGAGGGAGGCTGAGGCAGCCTCCCCCAGATGCCTATTCCTGTCCCTGGCCTAGCGCCGTGCTGGGGAAGCGACAGCTATTTTGAGGCCCTTCTCGCTCCAAGCGTGAGCGGTGGGAAGACGCTGGGAACATCCCGAACTGGGAGGCTGCCCGTGGCATCACACGCCCTTGGCCTGGCTCAGGGCCATGCCAGCCCTGTGCCTCCACCTCTCTTTCTAGCTCTGGCAGTGTGGTGGGCTCTGCTCCCAGCCTCCAGGCAGCAGGTACCTAGGGACAGCTGATTCCAGGGAACTTGTGCTGGACACCCGGGCATGGAGAGGGGTGGAGGGGAGCAGAGCTGGGCTTGCCCTCTGGGGAAGGCCTGCAGCAGCTCTGGCTGCAGTCAGCAGCTGGGAGAAGGAACCGCTCTGGGCCTGAAAGAAACAACATGGAAACACCGGCCGCTTCTGCGGTACTCCTGAGGAGGCAGGCTCTGTCTGCAGCACTTGGCACGGGGTAAGACATGTAGCTCTCCCAGAGAGGAAACTGGAGATCAGAAAGGAGGAGTGACTTGCCCACATCATACAGCTGGAGAGAGGCCAAGGTGGGACCCAAACCCAGCCACTCCTGGGACCACTTGCCCAGCGTCTGTGCCCACCGCCCCTAGCCTGGAAGGCTACTTTGAATGAGGAGAAGGGGCACTGGCTTGAAAGTGGAGCCCTCTCGGCCAGCCTACCAGCATGGCTCAGACTCCTCACCCACAAACAGGCCCACTTTCAAAGTTCAGACAAGGTGTAGCAAGTAGTACTTGGGGGACTGGGCACGGGAATTCCTTCAGGCTCCAAGCTAACACAGTCACAGGTCTGTGCAGCCAGAGACTTTTAGAACAAAAACTTGAGCCACTACCAACTGCCTCTCAGGGTGTGCATTCACAGCAAGCTGTGAACAAATTGGAACATCAACTCAGGCACTCCAGTATAGTATGTGAGTACCTCAAGCAGTATTTTAACTACTCTACCAAATGCCCACTTGGGGGTTAGGACTTCAACACATAAAGTTTGGAGAGACAGAAACATTCAGTCTAAAACCACATGATAATGGGGCCTGCATGGTGGCATAACAGGTTAAATTGCTGCCTGTGACGCGGGCATGCCATAGAGGCCCCAGTTCAATTCCTAGCTGCTCCACATCCGATCCAGCTCCCTGCTAATGCACCTGGGAAAGCGGCAGAGGCTGGCCCAGGTGCTTGGCTCCCTGACGCCCACCTGGAAGACCCAGAAGAAAATCCTGACCAGCCCAGCCCTGGCCAGTACAGCCTTCTGAGAGAACTAACAGATGAAAAATCCCTCTGTCTCTCCCTCTAATTCTGCCTTTCAAATAAATAAATACATCTTTCAAAAAAATAAAGAGGAAACACAGAACGCCTGAGCTAAATTTCACCTTGTTCTTGTAGCTAAGCAAAACTTTGGCCAGTTGCTTATTCTTTCTGGCCCTTAGTTTACTCGTCTGTGAGATGGGGTCAATCAAACCAAGCATCAGGATTGCGTGTTGGCTCAGGTAGCTAATCCTCCATGTCCAAGAGCCGGGATCCCATATGGGTGCTGGTTCTAATCCCAGAGGCCCTGCTTCCCATCCAGCTCCCTGCTTGTGGCCTGGGAAAACAGTAGACGATGACCCAAAAAGCCTTGGGACCCTGTCCCCACGTGGGAGACCCAGGAGAGGCTCCCTGGCTTTGGATCGGTGCAGCTGCAGCCACTGTGACCATTTAGGGAGCGAGCCAGCAGATCAAAGATTTTTTTGTGTATCTCTCCATTTCTCTGTAAATCTTGCATTCTGATAAAATTAAATAAATCTTTTTTATCAGAAGATGATAATTTTAAAGTTATTAAGAATAACTTTAAAAGAATGATTGCACATGTGAGACTCTGGGTTTGATTCTGCGCTCCGGCTCCTGACTTGAGCTGCCTGCTTAATACGATTCCTCCGGGACAGCAGTGATGTGTCCCTGTTGCCCGCGTAGGAAACCTGGATTGATCCTGCGGGGCCGGGGACTGCTGCAGGCATTTGGACAAATAGTGGATAAGAGTTTGCATTCTCTCTGCCTCATAGATAGATAGACAGATAGATAGATAGATACATAAAATTAGGGGCTGGTGCAGCTAATCCTCTACCCATGGCATTGTATCCATATCAGGCGCAGTTCGTGCCTTGGTTGCTCCACTTCTAGCTCCCTGCTTATGGTGTGGTAAGGCAGCGGAAGATGGGACCCTAGACCCACAAGGGAGACCTGGATTAAGCTCCTGGCTCCCCATCCTTTTGTGGTCCATAAGCGTGATGATTGGGTCTGCACAGGTTTGTGTGACATCTGCCTCCCTCCAGCCTTGTTAAGACGCCAGCACATCACCCATCTGACTTAGGGAAAAAAAGCTCCTGGCTCCCAGCTTCAGACTGGCCCAACTCTAGCTACAATGACCATTTAAAGAGTGAACCAGCGGATGGAAAACCTTCTCTATCTTAAAAATAATAATAAATCTGCCTTTCAAATAGAAATAAATCCTTCAAAAATAATCAATTTTTAAAATTTAAAGAATAGGCCCTTGTCATAAGGACAATAACAACGGTCAGTTTCCCATTGGTCCAGGGACACCGTGAAGGGTGAGACAGCCTGGGTTCAGCGTGCATCCTGAGGTGACCCTCATGTCAGTTTTCGGAGCCCCCCAAATCCCCTGGCACATCCGACGGGGTTATCAGGGCTCTGAGGTAGGCCGGCGGGGAGAAAGGCGGGCTAGGGCATTCGGGGTGCAGGCACCACCGGAGCACAGCCCATCGAGGCCCCGGGAGGACGCTGCCGCCCCTCCACGCCTCCGCGGGCGGATTTCCCCCACGGCCTCCCGCGCCGCGCAGCGGGGACCCCGGTGATTGCCAACAGCCGCCGGCCTCATTAGGAGACGTGTAATTAGCGGCTGGCGCGGGGTAATTACCACGGGGAGCTGCCGAGGCGCCACCCCGCACGGCTCCCATTCTCGGGGGTGGGGAGGCGGGCTGGACCTGCTGGGAGACCGTGCCGGGGCGAAGGAACCATTCATTCATTCGCAACAGCGATTCCTCCGCACTCCCTGTGCCAGGCGCGGTGCCTGAGGAACTCTGCTTATAGTTCATTTCCTAGTAATTTCCAGTTAGGAACTACTGTTTCCTTTTTGCACATGTGAGGAATCCCCGACGACACCTGGTAAGTGCCAGCGAGGGGATTCGAACCAAAGGCTGTAGTCTGTTCTTATCACACGCAGTGGCTAACTGAAACCGTGCACAGGACTTCAGTTGAGACGGAGCCATGGACTCCAGCTGGCTGGCTTTGGCTCGGGTTCTGAGCCTGCTCCTTAGTTCGACTCCCACTCGTGACGTTGATCTGAACCCCAACTCCGTCTACACTGTGAGCGCGACGTTGGTGCGGACTAAACAACTTGACAGGGAGCAACTTGCGGGCGTGTTTAGAGGCGGGGCCCGCGCTCTCCCCGCACTGCGGGCCTCTGGCGCCCTCTGCGGGCCACACGGAGACATTGCGGGGCAAGCGGTCCCGCTGCAGGGACAAGGTACACACCTCCACCCTCCGTTTCCCTCCTTTTGGCCAGTGGACAACAAGAGAGCAGAGTGAGAAAATCCAGAGCCCATTCTAGACTTCGCAAAAATGGACCATAATAGCCGCAGTTCCCCTCACGGGCCTCACAGGCCCAGCCAAGGCCGTAACTCTACAAACAGCCTTGGATAGGTACAATTGACCCCATTTTAAGGTGTATCAAAGCATCGAGTCTATAAGAAAATCTAACCATTGACCACACGTCCGGCCAGAGGATATTGCTAGTCCATGTTGTGGCGGATAAAGACGCCCCTGGCAACGCTGGCATCTCATATGGATGCCTATTTGAATCCTGGCTGCTCCACTTCCCATCCAACTCCCTGCTAATAACAGTCTGTGAGAACAAGAGAACATGACCCGAGTGCTTGGGCCCCTGCAGCCACATGAGAAACCCAGGAGAAGCGGGGCCGCCCCAGATCCGGCCGCTGTGGGCATCTGGGGAGTGAAACAGTGCCTGGAAGATCTTTCTCTTCCTGTGTCTCTGTGTGTCTGTCTCTATCAAACGAATGAATCTTAAGAAAAGAAACTGACCAATTGCATAGCTGACAAAATGGCATCCTAGGAGATGAGATAGCAGGAACATATAAACAGGAACAAATCCTACACCTGCTGAACTGAGGAACGCAGCCCTGAGGGAGAGAACGCTGGAAGAGATTTTCATGAAGGACCTCTCTCCTGATGGAGTCAGAACAGTAGCTATTTCCAGCAAGAGTCTGGAAGGCTCAGGGAACCTTCTGGGGTTCTGCAAATGCTTTCTTGCCCTGAATGGGGGTGATGGTTACACAAGCCACTAAAAAGTCACTGAGGGCTACACTTACGCACACGGACTTTATGCATCTTACGCTGCAGTAAGAATAAAAATTTAGGAACAGGTCTTGTGGCATACGGATAAAGCCACAGCCTGCGACATCCCATATGAGCACTGGTTCTAGTCCTGACTGCTCCATTCCCGATCCATCTCCCTGGAATGGCCTAGGAAAACTAGTGGGAGACAGCCCAAGTGTTCAGGCCTCTGCTACCACCGCCACCTCCATGCAAGATCCGGAAGCAGCTCCTTGCTCCTGCCTGGCACAGCCCTGGCTGTGGTGGCCCCTGGGGAGGGAATCAGTGAGCAGGTCAGCCTCTTTCTGTATCTTCCTCTAGCTCTTTCAGTCTGTTTAAAAAAGATGATTTTCATTGGAAAGTCAGATATACAGAGAGGAAGATCTTCTGTCTGCTGATTCACTCCCCAAGTGGCCCCAACGACCAGAGCTGAGCCAATCTGAAGCCAGGAGCCCAGAGCTGCCTCTCGGTCTCCCATTTAGGTGCAGGGTCCCAAGGCTTTGGGCCGTCCTCTTCTGCTTTCCCAGGCCACAGGCAGGAAGCTGGATGGGAAGCGGGGCTGCCGGAATACACACTGGTGCCCATACGGGATCCTGGCACGTGCAAGGTAAGGACTCTAGCCACTAGACTAGCGTGCCATTCCCTGAAATCTGACTTTCAAACAGATATTTTTTTTTTAAGATCTGTTTATTTATTTTACTGGAAAGTCAGATTTACAGAGAGGAGAGACAAAGACAAAGATTTTGAGTCAACCTGAAGCCAGGAGCCAGGAGCCTCTTCTATGTCTCCCACACGGGTCCCAAGGCTTTGAGCCATCCCTACTGCCTTCCCAGACCACAACTGGGAGTGACTGGGATGGAAAGAGGAACAGCCAGGACACAAACCAGCACTCCTACGAGATCCCAGCGCATGCGAGGTGAGGACTTTAGCCACTAGGCTACTGCACCAGGCCCAGACAAAAAATCTGTTTAGTTAAAAGATATTCAAGTGAAAAGGAAAAAGTGCTAGACAGTATGACCCTTTATTCTTACTAAAAGGGAAAACATTTACCACGGGGAACAATTCACAAAAGCTGTTCTCTTTCCCATTTTTAAATTACTGAGAATCTGAAAGCACTTTGTTGTGGGTGAGAATTATCAATGTTCACTGTAAAGATTAAAATAAAAAAAAAAGGCTTAGTGCTTAGCACGGTAGCCTAGCAGCTAAAACTCTCATCTTGTTCACGCCAGGATTCCATATGGGGCACTGGTACCAATCCCAGCAGCCCCGCTTCCCATCCAGCTCTCTGCCTGCAGCCTGGGAAAGCAGCAAACGGCCCAAAGCCTTGGGACCCTGCACCCACATGGGAGACCCAGAAGAGGCTCCTGGCTCCTGGCTTCAGATTGGCTCAGCTCTGGCCATTGTGGCCACTTGGGGAGTGAATCAGCAGACAGAAGATCTTCCTCTCTGTCTCTCCTTCTCTATATATTAGGCTTTCCAATTAAAAAAAAAAATCTTTTAAAAATAAGTTTAAATATGGCATTTCATATCACCTGTCACGTAACTTCTGGAAAACTTGACTCTGAGGAGATGAAAAGGGCAGAGCATCTTACTATCATTATCGATATGATTATCCCCACTAATTCCAGCAGTGCCTGGCTGAGTCGGGATTCCAGGCGGCCGACCAACAGCTACTCTCAGCACCGCTTTTACAGCATGTTTCCACTGACTTCTTCATGTTTCCCTGTTTGTGTGTTTTTCTCCTTTGAATGGAAAGTACCATGACCACTGACTGTTTCTGTAAACAGAAAAACGCTGAGAGAACACGTTCGGGCTGACGGGCCCAAGTCAGAGCTCTAACCTGAGAGGCGCGCCCGGCGCCCTCGTGAGGCCGGGGAGACGCAGCCGCCTCCGGGTCCTCCGGGTCCCCTCAGGTCCTCCGGGTCCCCTCGGGTCCTCCGCGGCCCCTCAGGTCCTCCGGGTCCCCTCAGGTGCTCCGCGGCCCCTCAGGTCCTCCGGGTCCCCTCAGGTCCTCCGGGTCCCCTCGGGTCCTCCGCGGCCCCTCAGGTCCTCCGGGTCCCCTCAGGTCCTCCGCAGCCCCTCAGGTCCTCCGCGGCCCCTCAGGTCCTCCGCGGCCAGACGAGCTCCGTCCGGGGCAGCATCGCCCAGCCCTCTCCGCCAGCCCGACTCCAGCGCGGCCGGAACACGCAGGCGCGCCTCCAAGCGCCGGGGGAGGCGGAGCTTGAGGGAGATTGACACGGAGCTCGGCCTCTCAGCTTTCTAGTTCCGCCCTCCTCTCCTAGTTCCCTCTGCGAGTGGCTGCACGATGGTGAAAGCCAACTTCCCCTGGGCGCGGGGCACACCAACATCCGGCGAGCGTGTGAGGGAAGAAGCCATGGTGCGGTTCAAGCACAGGTAAGCTGCTGCCTCCCGACCCTAGGCACTCTCCCCGGCCTCCGTAGCCCCGACTCGCGCCCTCATGCCCGGTCGCCCGCGGCAGGTACCTGCTCTGCGAAGTGGTGTCTGACGACCCCCGCTGCCGCCTGACTCTGGAGGACCGTGTGCTGATCGGCCTCGTACGGGACACGATCGCCCGGGTGCATGGAACCTTCGGCGCGGCCGCCTGCTCCATCGGTTTTGCAGGTACGAGGGCGTTGGGTGGGATTTGGAAAGGGCACAACCCTCATTGCAGTAGCTGCCTCTTCACTCGTCCGGGGCTCTCCGGCAAGAAGTCTGGACGAATCCGAAGTTAGCCTGAGAGCTAACGGCAGGAGCCCACCGGCAGTGGGACCTTGGACAGTAATCCTGTTCACCTGCTTGGCATTCGTTATGTTGGGAGATACTAATGCACTTAATGAGGCAAGTCGTGTAGTTGTTTTTAGGCTTTATTTTTATAGGAAAGTCAGATTTACAGACAGGGAGAGACAGAAAGATCTTCCGAACACTGATTCACTCCCCAAGTGGTCGCAATGGCTGGAATTGAGCCGATCTAAAGCTCTTCTGGGTCTCCCATGTGGGTGCAGGGTCCCAAGGCTTTGGGCCGTCCTCCACGCTTTCCCAGGCCACAAACAGGGAGTGAGATGGGAAGTGGGGCAGCTGGGACACAACCAGTGTTCATATGGAATCCCAGTGCGTGCAAGGCGAGCACTTTAATCACTAGGCTACCGCGCCTGACCTAGTGATTGTAAGAGTCATTATTTGGCCAATCACATTGTCACCACATGTGCAAGGGAAAAAAAATTGTCAAAATCACCCCCAGAAATGCCCTTTTTTGTAATGTGAAAACGATTGGGTATCCCCATGTGCAGGTTGGATGGGCACCAAAGGCTCTTCTTGCTGGCTGCCCCAGTCATTGACTCCTGGATGGTTAAGTGGGCAACCTGCACCAGGGGAGAGCCACGGGCCAGATGTAGTAAAACCATCTTCCTGATGCAGGATAGGTCTCCTCCCCCTCTTCCCACTGCAGTGACTAGTTCAATAGAGGAGCATTTTAGATTCTAGATTCCTTTAAGCAGTTCTGAGTGACATGCTAGTCAGATTGGTCATCCTTATTCCATAAATGAGAAGTCCTATAGGAAGTGGTTTTCTTTAGGATCCTTTTTTCCCTCAGTGGTGCATCCCAAGTTCGTCACTGCAACGGTCTTTCTGGCACAACGTTGGCTCTACCCTAAGGGTTTTAAGCTGTGAATCCAGTTTTTCCAAAACGATCCCTTCTTTGTAGTTCGATACCTCAATGCCTATACTGGAATAGTGCTGCTTCGATGCCGAAAGGAGTTCTACCAGCTGGTGTGGTCAGCCCTGCCCTTCATCACGTATTTGGAGAACAAAGGACACCGCTACTCTTGCTTTTTCAACACCTTACACGTGGGAGGTACGTTTGCACATGATACATGACGAATCCCCACGGACAGGTTCAGAATTGGACCTTCTCTGGTATGTGCATTCTTCCTGCTTGCTTGCTAGCCCTCATTCACGAGCCACTGATCCCCAAAACCCTTGGTGCCAGGTACCATTAGGACATGTCAGAAGTTCCTGATTCAGTACAACAGGAGGCAGCTGCTGATCTTGTTACAGAACTGCACCGATGAAGGTAAGCACGAAGCCCTGAGTGGCTGGCTGCACTGGAGCCGAGCGATCCCTCGCCAGGCTTTCTCTGATTTCTGCTCTGCCTCGGCAGGAGAGCGGGAAGCTATCCAGAAGTCTGTCAACAGAAGCTGTTTATTACTAGAGGAATCATCCGGGGAGGAAGAGCTTCCGGACAGTGGAGGTGAGGAAGCAGCTGAGGCCATGGCGTGAGCCGACCACCCAGCAGGCTTCACTGTGTCCGAGATCTCAGAGTGGAGGACAGTCAACCAGAGGACCATCTTCTACAGCTTAAAACGGAGGCCATGCTCACTGAAAACACCAAAGTGGTTTTTACTGTGTTCCTGGCTAAGTAGTCCTACTGGTTGTAAGGACTGTACATTTATAGATATTTCTGTGTCTGTGTGGCTGAGAGTAGGCTTAATATTTGGTTTCTGTAGCACTGAGCCCAAGAATTAGGTTACAAAAAAGGCTCACACACTCCATGCCTGACCAGGTCTCTTCTTCCATACACCACTGGCTTTTCTGTGAACACAACCTCCCCTCTTATGGTACTAGACAAATTGTCTTTAAAAAATTTTGAAAGGCAGAAAGATCTACCATCCACTGACTTACTCCCCAAATGGCCTCAACAGTCAAGGCTGAGCCAGGCCGAGGACAGAAGCCAGGGAACTCTACCCACCTCCCACATGTGTAGCAGGGGCCCCAATACTTGAGCCATCTGCTTTCCAAGCCACATTAGCAGGAGCCAAATCTTAAGTGGAACAGCTGGGACCTGAGACTGCATTCTGATGTGGGATGCCATACAACACCAGCCCCACTGGATGGAATTTGAGTATTACACTGGATATGCAGCCCTAAACAAATGAAGTCAATAAACATGGGGACATAGCAACCAACCTTAATACAGATCCATAGTCTCAGTAATGATAGACTTCAGAAATACCAAATACCTGGCTAACATGCAAACAACTGTTGCCTCAGCACCCCAATAAAAACAGAAAGCAGCTTCTGCACTTTTGTGGAACTGGCTGGTTGTCTTGTGGCTGCCAGCCTGCTCATCTTCTGCAGTCTGCTCAGTATCCTTACACCTGAGGACACATGGCCTGCCTCACTCACAGGCCAGAATTGCAGGCAGCAAGCCTGAGCCACTGTGCCAGCCCTGCACCTACATCTTTGAAACGAGGACCAAGACCTTTCCATGTGCCACAGGTGACCTTAAATTTTCTAGTTAAGAAAAAATATTGGGGGAGTGTGGGTGTTTGGTGTGGTAGTTAAGCTGCTGCATATCCACAGTGCTGGGTTCAAGTCCCAGCTCCAGACCCAATTCCAGCCTCCTGTTTCCCTCCTGGGAAACCCACACAGTTCCTGACTCCTGCCTGACTGAACCAACAGATGGGAGAGTTCTCTGCCTCGTAAGTAAATTATTATTTTTTTTTTTTTAAGGAAAAACAGGTTAAAGCTAAGCCCAGCTTAACAGTCATCTAGGCCTTATAAGACATCAGTTCATGATGGCCAAACTGCCTGATCTCTCAGAAGCTGTTACATAACCTATTTTAAGATTTTGATATTTACACATTTTGATGTCTAGTTGAGCTGTAATGAACTATTAAAAAAAAAAAAAACAAAACAAAAACAAAAGCTCACATTGCTTGTGCAGGTGATTTATTACAACTATTTTGCCTTCACATTCTGTTAACACCTATAGGTCACTTTATTAAGCAGCAAAAGAATTCACATCACTCAAATCAAGACATAAGAGAGCTGCTCTAGGCAAGAGGAAAGCAGTGGGTAACCTACTCCCTTCAACCTACCCTGTTCTGAAGGAATGCCAAATCCTGTCCCTACCATTCAGACCCCTACTACTTCCAACAAGCTCGACCTGTGGGTGGGCAGGAGCCAGGGCCTCTTAATGACAGTGGCAGCTTTCCTAACTTTCAAGTGAGACAAAACCCTCCACACATGCAAGTGGCAAGTACAAACTATCCATCAAACTGGCAATCCAAATCTGCCACCACAGCCTGGCCATTTGCAGAGAAACAAAATGCAACTCCAGCTGGGTATCCTAAATTCATTTTGTTCCCTTCCCTCTGACAAGAACCGAAAAGGTAGAAAAGACTCAGCTACTTTTAATGAAAGATAACTAACGGCAAGGTATGATGAAAGCAGAAGCACTGACGTGCCACTCGGGTTTGAACAGCTCCAAAGGAAGCTTAAGGAAGGGACTCATTTATTTTGGCTTGAAAAAAACTACACATGGGCCAAGACTGACCTGGCAACAAACTAAACTTTTGGCAGGAAGAGATCTCTTGTGAGTGTCAATACTTTATTTTGGTGTAAAGACGAGAAGCTGGAAAATACACTGTATTTAAAATCTCGGTTCCCCCTCACGTTGTGGAAACCCCCTCCCCCCAAAGCTAATCTTTTCAAACTCAAAACACTTAAAAATTACAGCAGCAAATCAAAGCACAGGGGAAAAAAAACCCAATGGAGAAGGCAGCCAGAGCCAGTGGTGTCACTTGGTATGGACGACCGAGGTACTGAACAGGAGCTTCTGTTTCTGCTTTTTCCTTTTCTTTCCTCCTTTCTCTTCTGAAGGGAAACAAATTTCAGTTAGTCTGGAAAGCCCCATTATCCCTTGCATTTTTCATAACCTAGAATCTGAGTGCCAGCTAAGCCTGGATCCAAACACCAGACCAGGCATTTGTCTCTGGCAAGTCCCCTTACTACCCTGAGTTATAACCATTTCATACAGTTGTTGCCAAAATAATCATTACACTATGGGCAGAGAATGCACACATCATTAACGTTATTCTTGTGTAATCACAAATACCACAGTGAACCAACTGCTGCACCCAAGCCACCCTTTATGAACTCAACTCAAACCACAGGTGATCTGTCTGACTCTTGGAGAGAGCAAGGGGGAAAAGTCTTCAGACTGTACTTGCAGATCTCAAGAATTAATCTGATGTGCCACACAGACACAGAGGCTCAGACAGAATGTTTGCCCATGCTGTGGGCTGCTGGGGCCAGCAGGAGTGGGCCATCCATGTGCCAGGGGTCCGACAACACCAAGGAGCACCCCAGTTCTCTGCCCTTACCAGAGAGAGGGTCCGAAGTAGCTGGTATGTCCAGTTTCATGAAGGCTGCTTCAATAGCTTGACTGAAGGAATTCTGGAAACTGGGCACAGGGACACGGTCTGAATTATCACTCTCTCCATCACTGTCCACAGAGGCAGGAGGAACTAAGCTGTTTTCATCTGAAAAATACCAGTGTTAAGGATTCTAAAAACAGCTCTCAAGGTTTGTTGAAAGGGCTCGCACTCCATCCACTACCTGCAAGGCATCCTTACCTTTCTTTGGAGTACTTTTGGGCCACACATCTGCTTTTGCTTTTCCAACCCTCAGCATCTATCAGAGTAGAAAACAGATGACAATTTTTCATTTTTTTTCATTTATTCAACTTTTCCAAATGCCCACCTTGACACTACCTAGTTAAGAGGCAGACAAGTAACTACCACTTTGAAAAGACTTCCCCATACTTTCTCTCCTTACCACACTGTGTACCCTATAGTTAATACACTGCTACAGCAAAGCACAAGCTTTTTTGCTCCTTAATAAAGTAAAGAATATTGCAAAGAAGGCACAAGAAGCTCTTAGTCATTCCCAGGTTGGGAATCCTGGTACTTTCCTGCCTTTCTTAGAAACCCTGTGGGGTATAAAGCAATGTGCAGTGCCCTCCAGTTTTAAAACTGACTATCAAGCCTTAGTTACTTAAGGCCACCAGAAGTAACAACTTAATTTTGACACTGATCTGATAATGACCCATTATCTTTTTAAATTTTGCTTTCCCAGTAACTCCTTAATCATTAGCTTTAGATCCAACCATGCACTGGTAAAGTTCACAGCCAGTAATACCAAGACTATCTTAAGCAATAACTTTCATCTCACTTGGCCACGGCCAACTTTCATGCTCTATACACTAAGCAACTCAGCATGGGGTCGGGGGGAAGGGGGGTTTATTTCTGCTGAGAGAAAAATCTGGGATTCAAGTAGGCATATCCAAAGTGTGGGTCCCCAAGGGAGGACCTTAATCAAGATGAGGTGTAGAAGGTATATAATAGGACAGATTTTTCTTCATCATATACTGCTTTGATGATTGTGTCCCTTGGCCCCTGGGAGTTTGGGTCTAATCATACTCTGAATCATACTCTTAAAAGGTAATTAAAATATCATCTATGTTTTACTCTTACGGACACTCTTAAAGTAACTGAACTGAACCTACTCATGAGGAAATAGACAATTCCAAACTGGGGCATTCTATAAAACTGACTTGGCTGCTTCAAAATCTCCATGTCATGGTGGAGAAGAGGGAGGCAGCACAGAGGGATGCTACGGATCAAAGGGAACTAAGGTGACTCGGCAACTGAACGTAACAATCGATGTGGCCCCTGAACTGAGACTAATAAAGATCAAGTCATAAGGGCAGACAGAGTTTCTTTTAGTGGATGAAGAGAACTGTGGTTACGTAGGAGAATGCTGTGTTCTCTCCTAAATACTTAGTAATGAAGTGTCCACAACTGATATTCAACTTAGAAAAAATAACCAAATGCAGCAAAATAAAATTAGTCAATATAGGTGAAAGGTTTCAGTGTTCCTAATACAAGGGTATTTAAACCATTTTGAATATCAACATTTCATGAACCTTTTCACGATTTCTTGCATACATGCATTTCAGTTCTTATTTCCCCCATTTAATTACAGGTTTAATTACAGTGTAACTTTTTCCTTCTCAAAAACAAACAGGATGCTTTAACTACATGACAGAAACACCACCCAAGTCAAGGGGCCTAAAGGCAGGGATCAGCTGAAATTCACTGACTGAATTTCAGTCCAAGAACAGTATACAAACATTCATTCTATTAGCTATTCTTGGCCAGTTTCCTTAAGTCTACAGCAGTAACTTTCCCCCATTCCTATCAGATACCTTAGTTTATCTACTATATTCAAATGAGAGGCAACAATTCTTGAATGAGACCCCTCCCCTGCCCCAAGAACAAGCAGCAGAGTTCATACTAAAATTCCTGGACTGCTGCTTCACAGGGAAAGAACTTACCTGGGCAAAGGAAGGGAAGGGAGAGTCTTCTTCCAGACTCCCAACGCAGAAGGAGGGACTGCCCTGACCGGCAGTGGGTGACAGAGGGGTCAGCAGAAAGTCTGAAATGGAACCAGAGACCTGATTACAAGAGTCAAGTTCCAAAGAACTGATGTCTGCAAGGAGAGCTGAATCCTGAATCAGATCTGGATAGTTTCAGGTCCTCACTCTCCTGGACAAACCTTATCTCCAGTTGGTTTACCTCCGCTACGTTCTTATAAAACCAAACCATGACCCTTCATAGCAGTAACCCACAGAGAAAGCTTCAGGATTACAGCAACAACACAGGTCACAGGAATAAATTGCACTAAGGAATAAATTCCTTACTGCAGGAATAAATTGCACTAAGAAAAACTTTCTTCTTAGAAGAACCACATTTTCCACAAAGAGTGATTTAGGCCTAGATGTTTTGGACTGATCTCATACTGATGCAAGGAAAAAATGAAACCAGGGGCCAGCACTGTGATGCAGTGCATTAAGTCACCATGTGCAACACTGGCATCCCATATCAAAATGTGCTTGGAGTACTAGCTGCCTTTTTTTTTTCTTGTAAAGATTTTTTTTTTGAAAGAGATTTTCAGAGAAAGAGAAAAGCAGATCTTCCATCTACTGGTTCACTCCCCAAGTGGCTGCAATGGCCAGAGCTGAGCTGTATGAAGCCAGAAGCTTTTTCTAGGTCTCCCACATGGTTGCAGTGTCCCAAGGCTTTGGGCCATCCTCTACTGCTTTTCCAGGC